TCAAGTTGGACCTTAAGGTTATGGATTTCCGTTAAAACAAGAAATTCCGTTAGTTTTTCCGTTAAACCAACAAAATTCCGTTAGATAGCCACTTTATATATAGAAGAGATATATATAATAGATTAAGTGTAAGACATTTCAAAACTAAGAAACTAAGGTTTAAAATTTCTAAACTTAGATTTTTTAAAATTTTATTTATAAACTAATTCATTAAATTTATTAAGGTCACCATTCTATACAATTTGGTCACAAATTATAAATTAATTTTCACGATCACAATAAAAAAATTTATATGTCACAAATTATTTCGCGATCATCAATCAAAATTTTTATAGGTCACAATTTATTCATCAATTACAAATTTATCAAATTAATATATGACATGTTATTCATTAGTCATAAATCACAAATTTTACGAGTCGCAACTTATTTTATGATCACAAAATATCTAATTAATTAGTCACAAATTAGTTTTCGGTCACAATAATATTATTGGTCGCAACATAGCAATTTTTTAGATCACGCGTTATTTATTAGTCATAAATTATCTATTTCATTGGCCACATATTATTTATTAATTACACATTAATCAATTTATTGTTTTCAATCAACCAAATAATTTGTGAAGATCGTCGCTGTCGCCATCACAATCCCTGTCACAACCACCACGACCACCGTTATTTGTGACCATGACCACCATTACTGCATCATCAGAATCGACACTTTACCACCACAAACAGTACAACCTCAGCACCAACAAATCAGATCCAAAATGCCAACACCCCACAATCGCCATCACCCCACCGTCGTCGCCTCCATCACCATCACCATTTTTTAGCCCAATGTTTTATTTTCTACTTATTTCTTCAATTAGGAGAACAAACCTTACCAAATTGAATCAGCAACTGATTATGGTGTATTTTTTGGACCCCCCAACAACATCAAAATATGGAGAACCATCACTCCAACAACCAAAACCACCTCATCGTTGTCGTCAGATCCACCACCACATGTAGAACCAACATCACCACCACTGAATTGTAGCAGTGACAAGGGTAAAGCTGCTCTGCCACATAGCGCCATCGTTGCAGCGAAGATGATCTCCTTTTCAATGTTTGTGATATAGAGACAATGACAATGATCTCCCGAGATAGAAAGGGGAGGAAAAAGGATTTAAGTTTAGGGTATGGGGATGGGAATATATATTAATTTAAATTTATAATATTAATTACCGTTAATTTTTTTTAATCGTCATCTGATTTTTGTACAAAAATCTTTTATATCTTATTTTTGAAAATGGAACTTAAAAAATAGGATTTTGTGTAATTTCCACATAATAAAATATGGATATTAAATTTGTCAATAAAATAGTAAAATATAATAATTAAAATCAATTTTTTTAAAAAAAAAAATTGGTAACCAATTTATAAATATTAAATAGTTTATAATTCAATCAAATTTAAATATTAATTTCAACCGTAAATTCATTAATGTTACTCATTTATTATTTACAAATTTCGTGAGACTCGCTACTATTTCTCTTTATAAACCATTTATAAATTTGTCATAAAAGTTAAATTATGTTATTTTCGTTGATTATTGAACAAGTATGAATTTTGTCACATCAACACATAATTTATAGTTTTATGTATGTTTGTCAAGGCAGATTCAAAGCTGAAGGTGTACAAGTAGAAAGTAAACAGTACACTCCGTAAAATTCACGATCGAGTTAACCATATTGACTTGATAAATTTATGAGTTATAAATATAACTTTTAATCTCAAACTTGTCCAACTAAACCATTAAATCTCCTCGAGAGATAAATGGTATAACCTACGTCAAATCTTAACATTCGTTTCTTTGTTGGATAAATTTCGAAGCTCATAGAAAGGCTTAATGATCTTGAATTGGTATGGCATGCGAGTGATGGTTGATAAATAAGTGTTAGAAATATTACTAGTTGCAATACAGTAAAGTGCGGAAATAAAAATTTATCGACTGATTGAATCTCGTGACAGCACAATGTTCTAAAGCGAAATTGTCTGTCGATAACTGTTGCAACCTCTGTGGACAATCACTTCTAGAATACAACGATTAAATAAACCAAATTCAGCGAAAAATCATCTCCAGAATACAACGATTAAATAAACCATTTGTGCAACAATCACAAATGATTTTCAGCACTCTCAAGTGTACTCCAGAAAAAATGAAAATAGAGTATAATATTTTTTTTCTAAATAGGAAGTTACAATTTCGTTTTTTTTTATATATATATATTTCTAATGCCCAGATGTGTGTTTAGTGTGTTTATATAGGCAGAAAAATGATGTAACTGTCTCCACCATGATCCAGTATCCATTACATAATTCCGAAAATGATTAAATAATTTCCTAAGGCCCCAATCAAAGACTTTTAATATAGCGCGTGAGGTGTGACTCGAACCCTCGACCTCCCGCACAAATTTCACAATTTTCACCAATTGGGAACTTTATTTGAATTATTTATTT